CTGATGTGAGCAATATAAGTTAATGCATTTTCTCTTTTTGAAAGAGAGACATTTTCGTAGCATAAACTAGTATAAATTTGAATTTTGTGCTACCTACTCGGCTGTAATGCTTCTTAAGTTATCAAAAACAAAATCAGCCCGCGTTGATTAAAATTTGATAAAAATTTCAAATTAGAGTCAATAATTTACTTTAACCACACATTTCATCCAAATCGGTCAAAAACCTTATTGATTTGTACGTAGTTTCAATCCAGAACCAAACAAAATAAGAAGAATTCAACTCTGGTCGCTCTTATTGGCCAATCAAGCCAAGCATAAGGACAGACCACGAGTCAAGTTAAAATTAAAAACCCTACAATAGTTTTTTATTATACTGATTTAAGAAATTAATAAAACGACAAGTTTGACCAATCTCTTTGACAGTTCAAAACAAAGGTGTCATCGTTGCACACACATACACACATAAAATAATTTATTAAAGAATTTTATCCATTTTCGTAAAAAATAAAAATATTATACTGCCTTCTGATAATTGACTAGATCTTGACTGCACCACAAATTAGTCCAATTGATTGACACCAGAAATATGACACAATCCAACATTATCCTCTCCAGCGCCCATAGTGTTTCATCTCTTGTTTTGAAAATCGAACTAGACTATAATTTTGTTGTATTACAGTATCAAATTTGAAATTTTTTTGATCAAAGGTATAAACTGTTTGTAACGAAAATTGATGACTTGACCTCTTTAACTAGGCACAACTCGTCCTATAAATCTTTCTAGCACAGGATAGAAATGTGAATAATGATGAATGAGTCTTGTTCGTAACAAACAAACAGATGTTGCTTGAAATTCGTTCGAACGAAAATAAAAAATATTAGAATCCACTAAATAACAAGAAAACAAAAATATTATAAATGGTTGTCTGGTTTTTATACCCTTAACACATATTCAAAGATTCGGAACAAATTCTAATCAAAGTGAAATCTTAATGGGAAAAATTCACAAGTGAAAAGATAACTATTGCCCATTTCAAAACTAAGAAAACATGTTTCAAATTTCAAAAATGGCTTATTAGCACAAAACGTCTCTACGTTTGATAGTTAGTGTGCAAAACGTCCCAACGTTTCATTTTTTTGCATTTTTGCCCCTATTTCAACGTTTCAGTGTGGAAAACATCATTTTCACTATTTTTCAGTGTAAAATGACCATTATACCCTCAAATTTAAATAAAACAAATAAAATGAAAAGAAATAT